GTGCAATTCTCTGCTTCCTCAAGCCTATTGGCAAGGTCTGTCAATTTGTCACTGGATTTTATTATTTCATCCCTTAACTCTTGTATTTCCCTTTCATGCGTTGCCTTTATCTTCTCTATCCTTTCATCTTTTCTCTGCATTGCTTCTCTCATATCCTTTATGAATTTAAACAGAATGTTGAAGATTTATTTTTGTCACAAGCCAATATCTGCTTCTTCTATGCCCATCATTAGGTTCATGACTTCTTCTGGCATTGTCTTCTGCTTCTCCTGCTTTTTCATTGAAGCTGTTAGAACTGGTTGCTGTTTATGTGTTGTTTTAGAGGAGCCTGGAGTCATCTTCCCGGGCTCTCTCTTGGGGGATTCGTATGAATGCTTCTATGAACTACCTACTGGTAGCTATACTGAGAGTGAGGCTAGCGCTATATCTTCTTGTGGTTTCACTCTTAACCTAGCCATCCAGTATTTCATTATTTGGAATGTGTGTTGGATATTCCTCTCATGTGACGCTGGTTGGTTTGTTGTGGGCCCACAAGGGCATCGCTTCCCTGTCCGACCTCTAAGTAGGCTTCATGGCTCTTGGAGCACCTCGGCTGGCCTGTGGTGTTTTCCTTTGCAACTGGAGTGCTGAGGAGGGCGTGTGGGTATACTCTTCTTCGTGTAGAACTCTGTAGCAGGTAGGGGAATTAATGTAGACAGAGGGATTGCCTTATAGATTGGGTGGATTTTCCCGAAGTAGCATGGAACCCCACCAGTGTTGGTCAGGCGCTTACCTCAGTCACTTGTAGGGCCTCGGGGTTTAGGCTGGGGATGCGCCCACTGTTTGCAGTGGAGAACCCTCTGCTGCTTGGTGTATGGAAAGGAACCAGCGTGATTTCCCCAGCTGTGTTCAAAGCCAACAAATGCAGGTGAGAGCTCCCCCAGTTGGGCCTTCAGAGTTGCTGTGCACAGAGGGGAGTGGCCTAGAGGCCACTAGTGGATTGTGACAGGAAAGAGAGTGAAAGGAGTGGAAAAAGAGAGAAAGAGGAAGACACAGACTGGAGCAACAAGGCCAAGCAAACTGACACCCACTCACCCACACTCAACTAGAATGCACAGAGCAAGCAAAAGTGAAAAGAGTAATAAACAAAAGAAAAGAAAGAAAGAAAACAACAAAAAAGAGAACACAATCTGCTGAGGCTGTGGTAGAAAAGAGAGAAGAGCTAGGAGAAGAGGCGAAAAGAAGAAATCATGAAAGAAGAAAACAAAGAAAGAAAGAAAAAGAAGAAAAAAAGAAAGCGAAGGAGAGAGAATTAAAAAAATAGGTAAAGATATAGCTGACCCCATGCTGTGCTGTGTGCAGCACTGTCTTAGGGGACAGGCTGTAGCTCTCCCCACTGGGTGGGCAGAGTTGCCTTAGGCAGAGGGTAGTGGTCTGGAACCAGCAGTGGCATGTGAGAGGAAAGAGAGAATCATACAAGCAGAGAAAGAAGTGAAGAGAACAAAGAAAGAGAGAGTGAAAGAGAGACAGAGAGAAAAAAGAGAAAGAAGGGGGGAAACTCAACTGTGTTCACTAAGATTGGCTGTGATGGCAGAGAGGGAAGAGAGAGAGAAAGGGGAAATAAAGAAGAAATAGATAGCTGATCCTGGATTGCTTGACTGTGGGGCCAGAGGGGTTTAGACCCTGCCCCACAATGACAGGTTGGTGTGCCCTTTTACTGCAGGGCCCAGTGATGCTGGGCAGAATTGCCCTAGTTGACGAGATCACCTTAGAGGTCTGAAGGAGGTTTCCTCAGCAGCACAGCATGGTGTATATGGCTGTCACACCTGCCTTGTGTGGTGTATAGCACTCCCACAAAGGGCAGGCTGGAGTACCCCCTGCTATTTGGGTTGATTTGCCCTAAGCGGAGAGTAGTGACCTGGAACCTCGTAGTGTCATATGATAGGAAGAGTGGGAGAGAAGCGGAGAAAAGGGGGAAAAGAAAAAACAAACAGGGAAAAAGAAGAAAGAGAGAACAGAAAGCCAACACAAACCTGAGCATATTGAGACAGACTGCAGAGGGAAAGATAGAAGGGCGAGTGACAAGTACTCCCTCAACACAAGAATACTTTCTTCTAGTAAATTGGCATTCTATGATGCTCACCTTCCCGACACAACCGCTGAAG